GCAGTCAAGTGGCTAGGTTTTGGGGATCTGTTACACAGCACCCTGAACAGAAACTGAACCTGGGATTTCTTGCACCTTGGAAAATGATCCACGTTTCCTCACTCCTGTGATTTGGGGTCTGTGTAACCTTCCTCTTCCGTAGGAACGAGAAAACCCCTTTTCCTCACTTTGATTTATGCCTTCCATCTGCTGCGGGGCGAGCAGGAAGAGATGCTGATGTTTTGAAAGGCACAGTCCTCTCTGCTTGCCTGCTTTGGGAGGACAGGAGACGTCCACTGATGCGTTAGCTAGGCGTAGGGTTTTTTCAGATTCTCGTGGTAATCTTAGCTTTTTTTATTCCGTGGAGAAACTCCACGTGAAAAGAGCTGGTCACCTCTGAGCCTCCTCTGCTGCAAACAGATATGTGAGCTAAGTCACTCCGCTAGCAAGTCTCTATATAGCTAACATCTAGTTGGTCCTTATGTTAAATGCAGCCCTTCACATCCCCAGAAGCGTGGAGCGGTGAGGAGGGATGGAGACGGGTGGTGAGGGGTGGGTTCAGAGCAGTGGCTAGGGTATTAGAGCAGGACCCACGAAGGGAGGGAGCGTCAAGCAACTGGAGTTAGAGCAACGCATTGCGAAGCAGGGAGCAGCTTGAGGCGTTGGAGGACTCCTCGACAGAATCCCCTGCTGACCGTGCTGGTTCTCGTGCCAGGCTCATTTAGTCTGTGTGTATTCCTAGGAAGGAAAAAGGGCTGTGTGGGAAAGTCAGATGGATGGGCGGCGGCCTCGCTGGAGTGACTTGCCAAGGAACCAAATAGTGGGATTGGAGATGCGCTGAGGTCACGGGGGTGATGAGAATCTGTATGTAACCCAGAGCAATACAATGCCCTGGAGCTTGCTTCGCGTGGAGTTAAGGCTGCCTTGAAATGGAGATTTTCATCTAAATTTCTGCGTTCCCAAGTGTACGCCCTACCCCCCCCCCCCCCCCCCCCCCCCCGGCCGACGCCCCACCACAATCCTCG